GCTCTGGACTGAGGCCCGGGAGCAGGCCCTGTGCGCCCCGGGCCTGCGCAAAACCAAGTACCGCAGCTTCCGCCGGAGGCTGCTCAAGTTCATCCCCGGACTCAACCGCTCCCTGGAGGAGGAGGAGAGCCAGCTGTAGGGGTGGGGGCGGGCGGGGGAAGGTATTTATTTATTTATTCGTTCTTTCCAGCCAATGCAAAAAGGAGGGGGGCGAGGGGACCTCAGGAACCCCGGGCTGCGGGAGAGGGTCCTCGCCAGCCCCGCAGACCCGGTTGGGGGAGCCCAGCCTTGGTTCCCCGTCCGAAGCACAGTGAGAACTAGCCTGGGAGAGAGCCAGCGAGCTCCGGCTTGAGAGAGGTTCAGGGTCCCAAGGTGGGGGCGCCCTAGCCTGCGTCTAGGTCAGTAGTGCCTTGTGGGGTGTCCAGGAAACTCCCGGGGGTGGGGCAACCCGCCCCACGAAGCCCTCTTCTCAGCTTTACTTGCCCCCCCACCCCCCACCCTCAGCCTTGAAGGGGAGCCATGGCCCTCCACACATCCACAGTTCCGGTTAACCAGTGGGACCCCTGGGGGAGCGAAAGGTGCTGGTCCCCCTCCCTCCCAGCCTTGACCCCTAAGGGCTTGGCCCCTCTCAGGGGCTTGTAACTAGATCGGGTCAGGCTGGGCAGGGGTCCTGGATCCCGCCCCCCTGAGGGACAGGCGTGGGCGTGCCCAGGCGGGTGGGCCCGCACCCAGACTGTGCCTCCGTTTCGCTGTCCTTGCTTTCTCACTACAAACTGTATAAAACGGACGTGGTTTTTTTCATCTGTGTCTGTGGTGACTGCCTGAGGGGGAGGACTGGGCTCAGGCAAGCTCTGACTCCACCATGCATCCCCCGTCCCTATACCCTGCTCCCCACCTCCCGTCCCCCCCCTTCCCCCCCCACACACACATACACTCTCTCTTTTACATCCCATTTGCTTGGAGTCTGCAGCCAGGAAAAGCCTCCGGGAGATTCTAACGTGTATGGGCCTGAACTAGAGCCCACACCATCTTCAAAACCAGGGGCCTCTTTGCTAAGTAAACCTTGAACTTCCCTATCCAAACACACAGCAGATGATGTCCATGGCTTGTCTGAAGTCCTAGCTATCCCTGTGGAATGTGCCTAGCGCCCTCCCCTGGGCCTGGAGTCTCCCTGAGGGGCAGAAGCCAGATCTCCAGGGGACCTACCGCCTTGTCCACCCATGGTGTAACAGGCTCAATGCTGGCCACATGGTTACTATCATGAAATCCCTTAAGAATATCCCTGATACCCAAAATAAGATGCTAGCTCTTCGTGCTGTGGGAACTGGCCCCTGCCAAGCTCACCTGCTTGTCCGGTGACCACCTTGCAGACCACCACCCCTCCGTTGCAGCCTCTGCAACTGGTGCATAGCCATGGCGCCTTCAGAACTCAGCTATGTCCTTCCCACCCAGTGTGGAAGATGCACAGACCCCCACCCCGTGGCTATCTCACAGTCCTGCGGTATTCCCACGGGAATACTCTTCGCCATCTGAAACGGACATTTAAAGGTGCGGGGCTTTTGTCGATTAGGATGTAAGGTTCTTGAGGCAAGACCCAGGACAGCAGTTTTCCTCATTGCACAAGGTCTTGCCAGGTACTCGCTGTCATTGACTCTTGGTGACCCCATAGGGATCTCGTGGTCTGTAGGTTTCTGGGACTGTAGCTCTTTATGGGAGGAGAGCACTTCATCCTTTCTCCTGTAGAGACACGGGTGGTTTTGAACTGCGCTGACCTTGTGGTCATAGAAACTACTCCACCAAACAGCCGACCAACTCACGGCCATTCAGTGGATGTTGACTTTGACCCTACAGGACTGGGTAGAACTGCCCCTGTGAGTTTCCAAGACTGTAACGCTTAATGGGAGTAGAAAGCCCTCTTTCTCACACAGAGTGGCTGGTGGTTTTGAACTGCTGACCTTTCAGATAGAAGCCTAATCCGTAACCACCATATTGCTTGGTACTAGCAGATGGAATCAAAGCCCAAACCCAAGGATGTCAAGGGGATTTCGACTCATGGCAATGCCCTATATTCAAAGGATAAGATGGAGTTCCAGAGGGTATTTTGTGTTTTGTTTCTTTCAGCTTGAGAAATGCTGAGTGTGCTCTTGACTTTGGGCTTTCCAAATCCAGGCCTTGGCACATGTCATCATGATACTTTGTATTCTTTTTTTTTTTAATCATTGTATTGGGGGCTCGTACAACTACAACTCTTACCACAATCCATACATCCATACATTGTGTCAAGCACTTTTGTACATTTGTTTCCTTCATCATTCTCAAAATATTTGCTTTCTACTTGAGCCCTTGGTATCAGCTCCTCATTTTTTCCCCTCGCTCCCCCCTCCCCGATACTTTGTATTCTTGAGCCATCCTTTGAAACCTTCTGTTCAGCTTTTTCACTTCCCCACTTGTGGCAGTTACATAATCTCCCGTCAACTTGCGAAGGGGTGGAGTCTAGCCTGTCGCAGATTGATGATCTCATTTGGAGTCACTACAGAGATAAATAGCTCACTGGAGGCCAAATCTAGACAGACTCTGCTTGTCTCCCCGTGAGACATTCCTGTTGACAAGCCACGTGGAGCTATGCTGATGGCAGCCAGAGCCTTGGAGCCATGTGGAGACCCACGCCAGTGCTAAGATGCTTCCTTCCACCGCCACTGGATCCCAAGACTTTCCACCCACTGGCCTGTGATCTTCCTGCAGTCTGTGTCATTGCATGTGTTGCCTGAGTCTGAAGAGGACCTTACAGACTGGCACCAAACATGTGGGCTCATATCAGGCTTATGGACTTGATCTAAACAGGGCTGGGATGTTTTCTTAATATGCAATTACTGTTTTATATAAAGTTCTTTCTTATACACCTATGAGTGTCTCTGGACTTGTTTCTCTAGTCAACCGGACTAACACACCACTACTTCCCTTTGTGTTAGCTATTCCACACTTAAGAGCAGGTTTCAGACTTTCTTTTTTTTGGATCCCACAGGACTTTGCACCTACCAGCCTGTGTCTTACTGCATTCTGTATCATTGCATGTGGCTGCGTGATTCTGAAGAAGGACAATGCGTTAGCATCAGACTTGTGGACCTAAGTTGGACTGGGCTGGGCTGTTTTCCTGATATAAAGCTTTCTTTTGTACATATGTGAGTGTCACTGGATTTGTTTCTCTAGTCATGCCGGCCTAGCACAGCCTCCCTCCTCTGATCATGCCTTCTTTTCAACTTAATGAATGGTCCTCAAATCTGCAAGCATGCTAGCCTTGACCGTTTTTTTTTTTTATGTGCACACCACACTGCCAACTTCTTTTTTCTTTTTTTCAGACTCTCTTTCAAAATCCGTTTTCATCTTTATTTCCTGTCTTTTAAAAAATTATTAAATACTTTTATTGGGGGCTCTTACATCTCTGATCACAATCCATACATTCCACCAACGTGTCAAGCACATTTGCACATATGCCGCCATCATCATTTTCAAAGCCTTCTCTTCCCACTTGAGCCGCTGATATCAGCTCCTCATTTTCTTTCCTGTCTTTTTAACGGCCTTTTGATTTCTTCATGTCGTCCCACACTCACCTGGTCTTTGGACATTAGGTGCTCAGTGTATCAAATCTATTCTTGACAGGCTAGCATATGATCAAGAACCTAGGGTGTTGAAGGAAGAAGTCTTAGCTACTCTGCAGGCACTGATGAAAAATAAGACTCCCGGAATTGATGGAATAGCAATTTCAGTGTTTCCACCCTGGAGGTGCCCATTCGTCTCTGCTAAGAAATTTGGAAGGCCTGTCCAACCAACAGGAAGAGGTTCATATTTGTGTCCATTCCAAGGAAAGGTTTCCCAACAGAACAATACGATAAATGCCACACACAAGTAAAATTTTGCTGAAGATGCTTTAAAAATGATTGTAGCAATCCATCAACAGGGAGCTGCCAGAAATTCAAGCTGGGTTCTGAAGAGGACTTGGAGCAAGGGATGTCATTGGTGATGTCTAAAGGATCTTGGCTGAAAGGAGAGAGTATCAGAAAGATGCTTATCTGTGCCCCATTGAATGTGCAAAGGCAATCAACTGTGTGGCTCATAACAAAGTACGGAGACGATGGGAATTCCTGAACATAACTGTGCTTTATGGAGAACCTGTACCTGGACAAAGATGCAGTGTTCAGAAGGAGAGACTGTGGCTTTGCATCGCTCAAGGGATGTGCTGGGACTACGTCTATTTTATTTAATCTGCGTGAGGAGAAAACCGAGAAGCCGGACTTATGAAGAAGGAGTCATCAACTGGGGACATACAGATAGCCCCTCCTTGTTTGCTGAAAACAAAGAGAACTTGAAATATTTGCTGATGAAGACCAAAGAGGAACGTCTGGAATGTGGACCACACCTGAACGTAGAGACAAAAAGTCCTCACGGTTGGGCCAGCCAACAGCGTCCTGATCAGTGGAGGAGAGTTGGCTGTAGCCAAGGAGTCACCTTTATTTAGAGCCACAGTCAGTGCCCATGGAAGCGGCCGTCAGGGAAATCAATGACATATTGGCATCGGAAAGTAACAAAACAAAACAAAACAACCACAACAAAGACGTCACTTTGAAGACTAAGATGCCTCTGGCCCCCGCCGACCCTTGGTATCTTGGGTCACCTCCTGCGCGTGTGAAAGTTGGACAATGAATGCGGAGGCGTTGGAAGTCATCATAGCTTTGAATTCCGATGCAGGCGAGGAACACTGAAGCAGCACGTAGCACGGACTGAGCAGGTCTACGTGCGGAGCAGCACAGGCAGAGCGCGCCCTCAGAGTGAGGCGGGCAAGCCTGGCCCCATCACACTACTCAGAGTACGCCATCAGGAGGGATCAGCCCCCGAAGAAGGACATCGTGTTTGGTAACGTAAAAGCTCAGCCAAAAAACCCGAAGAGGAAGCTCCTCACTCAGTGAGAGGAGAGGACACAGTGGCTGCAACGGTGTGCTCTCAATGGGCTTGAGGACCGTGGCCCAGGGCCGGGCAGTGATTCCTTCATGATGGGTAGCCACGGACTAGGGGGCACCTCACAGTATCAGTAGCCTTCCTTCTGGGGAGAAGACAGGGCTTTCTACTCCTGGCAGGAGTTTCCGT